TCTTTAGATAAGGACACTATATCGGACTCATTTTTTGGTTCTTCTATACTGCCATTTTCTTCACTTTCATGCTTCTTGCTTGGATTCTTATTTATTTGGGAATTGTTTTTCTTATTTGTGGCTAAAAGAGATTTTCATTAATTAAAAATATTGTATCAACAATTTAGTGCTATGTTAGTTATATAAAAATTTCATACTATGATTTAGCTAATTGGCTATAAAATAAAATCTTATGATAAAATTTTCAAATGTATAGAGTTCTAATATATCCAAATACTATATTACAAATATACATATGTGTAGGATGGTACATATGTAGGATACAGGCTTAATATAAAAAAATATTTATATAATTTTAAATACTTGTACTATTTTGATTCATATAGCGTATGAATGTTCTGCGTTTTCGTTCAGGTAACTCTTTAAGAAGATTTTGTAATTCGGCATCTAACTTCATGGACTCTTCTTTAGTAGGTTTTCCTTCAATAACGTCACTTCTGTTGCCACATTTTGAACACACTTCATTTTCTTTAGCACAAGATAAACAAATGTTATGATATGCTTGCCTTACTGATTTCTGCTGACATTTTATACATTTTGAAGGTGTTTTTAATGGCTTATATTTCTTATATTTAATTTTCCATTCAATGATCTGCTTACATCTTTCACATACACATGCTACTTGAATGCTATTGATCATTTTTGTTTTATGTGACTTATCGTGTAGATCATTTTTAAAAGCAGAATGATTTTTATATTTTTGTGGTCTTGATCGATTTGAATTCCCCTTCTGCGTGCTCATATTTTTATATTGATTTAAAAAATTAATTCAATAGTTCGTAAGTATAAATATATAAAATTGCAGAGTTGTTTAATATCTTGTTTTAAATTGTTTTGTTTTAAATATAATCTTTTTAACTGTACAACAACATAAGTTTTAAAAGGACAACGTTCCTAACATAACCTAATCTAAACATGCTCGACACGTTTAAACAACATGACATGTACAGTATATGTACATCATGCCATGTACAGTATATGTACATCATGCCATGTACATCGATGTGTGTAAGTAAATACACGTGTATTACATTAATCCATAGAGTATGCGTATACCAGAGATGACCTCACATGTAGTATTTGTTTATTATCCATAAGTAAGTTTTTCATGAAGGTAACTTTAGAATTCCATATTCAGCAATGTCTCAACAATGAATTGTCAGCCAAACAAAGCAAAGAAAATTTCTATGACGATATATGAATAGTAAACTATATTTGTGTGTATGATGAACTTCATAAAATTGCGTATATATTGTATCTGCTATGCAACATTTTCTATTACATTACGTTACAAATATCGTTGCATTTTTTAACTTTTTGTACTTATACTTGTATAATTGATCGTACCTTTGTCCGTTTTCATACAAAAGGAGAATGTACAATGTGCATGTATTGACATTTGATTACATTTATTATTACATACATACCCTAGATTGTACATTTGTATTCTTTTTATACGCAAGCGCACCAAAATTTGAGTCTCTAAGTTTCCATTCTTTATGAACATTGGAGTTTCACTTCTGTGTAAATTTTCTGTTACATGGTTGAATCAATGGTCATAGTTTATCAGTGTGAAATGGCAACAAAAGTTAATATTAGTGCATCCTTTCGTTTTTAACTTCTTATATGAAGTGTAGTGCTTGAACATAGGTACGTGACCATTTATTCTTATTCACGATGTTATTGTTACGATTTCGAATGTTTTTTACCTAAGAAAAAATTGATCAGTCAATGCATCGGTGCGTAATAAACATTAACCCTATAAAGACCATGTAAAATTATCTTCATGTATAATTACTTATTGCCAACAGTTTTTTGTGAAATAATATTTTTGTTAAAATAAAAATAATTCCTTAATATTCATTTTGAAAACAATAGCAACAATAAAATAATGTCATTAGATTATTCTACTGGAGAGAAATATGTAATGTACTTATTCCTAATATTTTCGAACTGGTGGTCTCGGCAATCCACCCTCTTAGTTATTTCGGGATGAATTGCGTAAAATAGTATTGACAAATTTGATTTCGAATTATTTAAGTTAAGTTTAATATCATAAACGGAAATCGTGTATCATATTAATAAGTTTCAAATGTTAGAGACTGTAAGTAAAGAATTTTGATATATTTTATATGATCATTTTCATTTTTAGATACATTTCTTCAAATGAAACAAGATATTTCCATAT